TCAGGCAGCCACTAAGCGAACAGCTATATCAGCCAAACGGCTATTGTGCTGGTTTTGATGATCCCTTTGTGGCAGGCAAATTGGGGGTTATGGCATTAAAACAGAGCTTAAATCCAGCCTTTGTCTGGGCCTGTTTTGTGGTCTGTTAAATGAACTCATTTTTTAATTCATTTCACAACCAGCTAGGACTACAATTGGTTTCAAATCAAATACAGTGGTGGGATTCAAAAAAATTTACTATTGGTTCTGTGGCATAGCTTGGTGGGCGTGGTGTTGCTTGGTGCGCATGGCAGGGGAAGGATATACTGCCAAATCCCCCTTCCCTCCCCACCCCTCTAACCTGCTTTCCAGCTCCGTTCTCCTGGGCAGGGCAACCAAAGAAGACCCGGCCGATCAGCTGGGACTCGATGGAAGGCGGAGAAGAGATGGGGTTAGCGGGGCCAGTCGGAGGTGGGATTGGCCGGTTCTCTGAACGACTCAAAACTTCCACTACCCATTCCCCAGAACCAGCTGAACACTATTTCTCCTTTTAAAACGTGGGATCTTTAAATCTGCTTTTCAGAATTCCGGCTCTAGGGTGGCAGGAGGGACGAGGACAGACAAACTGCTTGACCGATCTCGGGCGGTGGAATTCGAACTCAGCAGCGCCCCTTGGAAGCAGACTCACCGAAAGCCGCCACGCCACAAAGCCATTTTCCATTAAACCCCCATCCAGTTTGTACTGACGGTGCCGGCCTCTGTTTGCTGGGAACGGGGGGGCACGGGACAGCAGAGCCATAGGACTCATTTTGTGTGATCAGGTCACTGGTAGGTTTTGTAAATTGTTTAGTTCAAGAAGAGCAGGGCGACTCATTTATCCTTTTCTTTTTTTAAAATCTACCTTTTATTCAGCAGTGGGATTCTACCAGTTTCCCTACTGGTTGTGCGTGTGTGTGTGCAGCGTTCCAAGGACCAGCTGAGCAGTACAAAAAAGCTCCGAAGATCAGCTGAGAGGGTAAAGGAGAGAGAACACGGGGGCATATGAGAGGGTCGATCCTGAGCTTTTATCTTCTGTCTCCTCAGCTGACCATCAAAGCTCTTTTTTACTACCGGTTCAGCCAAACAGGTAGCAATTTTTGTTAGCAGTTCGGTTGAACCAGGCTGAACCGGTAGCATTTTACCACTATTTTTATTTTTTGTCTTTTAGTCCATATGGTTTATGAAAACACCCACCCACAAACACCTTTGTGTGTGGGAGGGGAACACTTAACAATTTAAAAACCCATACACCTGTTCGATGGGGGGAGGAAGGTTGACATGTGCTGTATGCCTTTTTTAGAAAATTAAAATGTTTTTTTTTAAAATACCTCTTTTAAAAAAAGAATAAATATTATTTTGAAAGCTGAGAAGCGGCAAGCATCTTCCACTGCAGACAACTGGATCATAAAGTGTATTTTAAAAAATCAGGGAGAAAACTGATTTATTAAATATTTAATATTTAACCTTTTTTTTTTTGGACTCAAGAGTTAACTGATTTGTGGACTCCGCGCCCACCTTTTTCCGAAACCCAGAAAAACGCAGATAAACAGGTTTTGACATCCAACCAGGGCAGAGTGTTCCAAAGATGCTCTGACTGTTTGCAGTTGTGGATTGGCTGCTTCCTTGTTGCCACGGTGACGCTTACGCAGCATCCTTTCCTCTGTGGTCCAGAATCGGACGTCTTTGGCTGAGATGAAACGAAGATGCTGGTTTTGTTCACTTCATTGTTATGGTGTCTCCGATACGTCAGCGCTGCCAGCCTCCCACTGGCTGTTGGTAAAGGATCAAAGTGTTTACGGCTTCCGTTCTAATTATTATTTCTGCCTTTTGGAAGTTTCGCAACTCATTTTCCAGAAGAGGGAGAACGTGGTGGTGCTTTTGGCCATTGGCAACCCTTTTCTAGGCGAGCTTTTACTTCTGTTGGCTCCCAGTGCCTGCTAGAACGCCGTAAGGCTGATTTCCCATGAATAACAGGGACCTTGAAGGTCTTCTAGTCCACCCCCCCTGCTCAAGCAGGAGACCCTAAATCCATTTCAGACAAATGACTGTCCAGTCTCTTCTTTAAAAGAATGGTGGAGCACCCACAATTTTTGAAGGCTTTCTCCTTAGTTCGAAGCTGTTTGGTTTCCATCCATTGCTTCTTTTTTTTTTTTGAAAAAAAGTTTTATTGACTTTAACAATGAAGAAAAACACATAAAACATGAAACATAAAAGCATCATCCTCCCTCATAAATTTACAGACAGTGTATCGGTTGGTTTACCACTTTTTTTGTGCATCCATTTCATAGTCTCCATTGTAGTTATATTACATAATAGCTCATATTATCAATCAACAATTATATAGCCTGATATCATTACTAAACAATCATTTGACTATAATTTTGTTAATTCATACTTTAACGAGATAACTATAATTTACTTAATTTATTTTACAACGAATCATAAAGTCATACCAAGTCTATCTTAATAAAATTTTTATAAAGATAGTATCAAAGAAAAAAAGAAGAAGTATATATTCATTATATCCTAAGTTTCTAAATGTTCTATTATTATATTTTATTATCTAGCCATTGATAGAAAAGGCCCGAAACTTCATAGAATTGTTTATCTTCTTGTTCTCTAATTTCAAATGTCAATCTACTCATTTCAGCACATTCCGCCATCCATTGCTTCTTGTTCTGCCCTTGTAGAATAGGTTGACCCCCCGCCCTACTTCTTCGTGGCAGCCCCTCAAATGTTGGACTATATTATAAGGTCACCCCTAGTCCTTTTTCCCTGCATTAAACTAGACCGAGCCAATTCCTACAACCGTTCTTGATACGGAAAAAAAAATGAAAGAGGGGAAAATGTACGGGCTGCAAGTAAATACATACTGTATACAATGACAATAAAGAATTCAATTCAAGAATTCAATTAAATGAAAGAACAACAGACCTCCACCTTCTCAAAGCACCATTCAGTGGAACGCTGGTTTCCTCGGATAAGCTGCATTTGCAAGTACTTAATTAATTCTCCCTGAATTAATCCATGTTTGATGGTTGATCAAGATGCATACATCTTGAAACAGCTTGTAATGAAAACAAGTACTGTGCTCATCGAGGTAGAAAATTATATTTAACCTCTGCTTAATGTGCCCAAGGCTCATTCCTTGGATGCCTGATGTTCTCAAATGCCTTTACTTTAAATAAATATTTGCATTTTGCTTTAAAGGCACATCCTGTTTATCGCTAATGCTGCTTCAGGCGGCCGTTCCCCTCCCTTTTCATGTACAAAATAAGCTTCACCTGTTTTACTCTCACAACTGCCCTTTAAAGTAGATCAGTGGTCACCGTGAGAAAATTTTGGTGGTCCGCAGAGAAATGGCACCCCCAAAACAATTAATCCAGGCTGTGTGGGAACACAAGGCTTGTGTCGCTTGCATTGCAAACAACAGGAGGTAGTGAGGGGAAGGGCGGAGGAGGGGAAATTTGCCCCCCAGGCCCCATGTGCCTCACATGGCCACCGGGCTGGTTCTTTCTTCTTCTGCTTTTGGCTGCATGCAAGGCAAACAGCAAAAGTCTTTCTTTCTCTCCCCCAAACTCTGCCAGAAATGAGTCTATGGACCCTGCAAGGCCTCCTGCTCCAAGAGGCTGCACCAGCAAAGACTCATTTCTGGCGGAGTTTGGGGAAGAAAAAGAAAGACTTCTGCTGCTTCTGCTGCTTTCCTTGCATGAAGCCAAAAGTCTCTCCCTCCCTCCCTCTCTCTCCCCTGAGATCTTGCTGGCTCCTCAAAACAAGATGGCCCTGGGTCTGCCATTTTGTTTTGGAAAAATTCCCCCCATTTCTCACTGACTGGCAGTTGCTAGACTCCGCAATATTTTCTCTCGCTGCTTGCAGGGGACCCCAACATCCACTGGAACAACTGGCAGCCCTGGGTGTGTATGTGCGAGCTTCACAAGCAAGCCCGCATACGGCACTTCGTAGTCTGGGGTGCCAACGTCTCGCTTGACCTGAAGACCTCGGAGTTTTGGCAAGAGAAGCCCTGCTCCTTGGAGGACTGCCACGGTTGCGGGTCGGAAGATTGTCCGGGCAGCCTGGCTCGATCCGGCTTCCTTTCCTGGTTTCAGAGCGTCTCTTCCCCCAGACCCCACGAAGTCAGGATCCCTCTTCCGCCCCACCTGGATTTCCCATCCTACGACAGCCTCCCCGTCATGGACGACAAAGATGGGGAGTAGGATGACTTTGGAGGCCGCCAAGCAGACTTTGACAATCACACCACAGCATCCATTTCCCGCTTGCTTGCCTTCCTCCAAGGGGGCCTGGACTCCAACACCTATGATCCTTTGCCGTCTGCTGCAGGGCAGGCAAGGCCGTGATAGACACAGCACACACACACCCCCAATGAGAAATGAGTTGTGTTTATTCTATAAGGCAGGAGAGCTGGGCACCAATAAAGTTTGAAACTGCTTACGATTAATTCTTAACTTTTCTTGGCTTTTATCTTCGGCTTCTAGGTCAGCCCTAAAAATCCAGGAAAAAAACCAGGCTGTTTCTATGTTTGGCTTTACTCAAGATACGTCCTCCAGTGAATAAACTTTGGAACACCATAGCTGCTCCTAAAACGACTAGTTGTTTTGAGCAAACTGCATCATTTAACCTCACTCTCCTTGGCTCAGATCTGAAGCAGCCATTTGAGAGTTTGTTTGCCAACTGTAAAGAAATGTTTGCTTTTTCCTTCGGAATTGCCTAGCGATGTTTCGTTATCGGGCAGGGTAAAAAAAAAAAAAACATCGGAGTGACTGATTAAATTTAATCTCCATTTGGTTTTAAGGAAAACAAACACATCCACTCAACCCACGTGAGCAAAGGGTGGGGCTTGCTGGGAGAGTTTAAAACAAAGCAATTACTCTGTTGCTTGGACAAAGCACTTTTATAAAAGGAGCTGTCAAATCCACAGATGTGCAGTTAAAAGCAAGGCAGCTCCTCTGTATTGCCGAGAGAGCGCGCCGCGTTTCTCCCTCTGCCGAATTCTGCAAACATTTTTCCCATGGACGATTTGCAACTTGTGAATGAAGCTGGTAAAGCGATGGACCGATCTGAGATTTCTGGAGAGACATCCGGAACGGAGGATGGTCCAAGAACTGAGGGCTGCTCCGTTCAAGAGGGAAGGCCCTGCGATAAAACGGGGGATCTTGAACTCGGAAATCCAGAAAAGGAGACTTCAGCATCTTTGCATCCTGTGGCTGTGACAGTGTTGCCCCCAGCGCCTCTCCAGTTCCGACTCTCCGTCAGTGACATGACCTGCCTCATCTGTTTCCACCAATTCAGCCTCGCCCGGCTGCCCAAACTCCTGGCTTGCCAGCATGCCTTCTGCACGGCGTGCCTAAAGATGATCTTGCGGCAAGACGATCGCACCTGGATCATCAGCTGTCCCTTATGCCGAAAATCCACGGTGGTGTTCGGGGGCCTCATCTGTAGCCTCCCGAACCTACAGCAGGTCGTGGAGCAGTTGGGCCCCCCGGATCCAGATGAAGTGATCGCTGGCACTCCGGGCACTGCCGGGGCACAGCATCCTTCCCCTGAAATGCAATCTTGGGACTCGGGCGAGATCAACGAGGTCGCTCTCAAGAGACTCTTTCTACTGCTTCTGCTGGTTTCTATGCTGATTGTCTTCATCCTCCCGTTCACCAACGCCGGATTGCTGATGTGGTTCCTCAGCTTCATGGTGGTTTTGGGCAGCATAGTCTGCGCTGTGCTTTGCTGGGACTCCAGTTGGAGCTGCCCGAGTTTTCCATTGCCCCTCTGGACAAAGAAGGTCAATCAAGGGGCCTGAGAATGACCTTCTTTGGCTTCTTCTAGGAAGGGCTCACGAGCCTCTTGGGAGACTTTGGTGCTCGAGCACACACAAGACCAAAGGGGGTGGCGTCGGGCCTGGGTGGGTTCAGATGTGGCATACGCACCGGGAAATCTTGACAGAGAATCCATAGCTGGTGGTAGCATCTGACTTCACGTCACGTTGGTTCGAAAATTGCAAGCACAATCCTGATGCTTCCGTGAATAATAGGGTTTTATTTTGGAGGGGGCCTGAATACATTTTCATTCGATTTTATTCCACCACAATAAACCAATGGTGGCTTCTGCCTTTTTTTTTATGAAAAAGTCCAAGATTAATGAATAACATGTAGATGGGAAACTCCACTGTGAGATGCAGTACCTCCAAAGAGCTGGCTAACAACTGTGACAATTGCAGTCCCTGTGCTTAAAAGTGGCCCTTTTAAGGAGATAAAAATGTCAGTTTATTGGGGGTTTAATAGTAGTCTTGGTTTTCATTTTTGAGGTTTCCTTCAAAGGCTGCACAACCATAAACATTTAAAACAGAAAGCTTTCCCTTTAATTCCATTGTTAAACACATAATTATGCTGTCTACAAAGGTTTTTTAAAAATCAGTGCACACATTGTTAGTAAACAGGGAGTTTAAATCTATTTCGGTCAGGGCGGCTTCCACACCAGTTGACTTAAATTTCTTCTGGGAACATTTGATGGGGGATGAAGATAGATTCCTTCTTATATATAGTTTGTGGCGAGGAGGTTCCAATTGTTTTGAGAAGCCAAAAATCACTTCAGCAAGTGGGAACAAGCACAGTGAAGCAGCCCTGAAGTGTGAGGCTGCTGGGACATTCGGTATTATTGAAATGTTTTATGTCTATGCTGTGAAGATTCATATAAAGAGAATTTTGCCTTGTTGGCTTTTCGCTTTATTCCACCTGCGCATCCAAAGGCTAGAAAATTTGCATTCACGTTGTATTAATTGCATTTTACATTGTATTAAATTGCATTTACAGCTTAAGCACAGTTCAGTTGGAAGTTTTCGCTGCTTTGTGATAGAAAAACTTACATTTGCAACGAATTGCAATTATTTTTTATAAAGAGAGATGCAAGTCTGCAAAAGATCGACAACTTGGGTTTTTAATCGCAGCCTGATTGCTAGTCAGCTATTAATTTCCTTGACATGAGCAATTTCAGTTGGCAAAACCGCAAATCCTGTAATTTTTTTTTTAAACCTTCCCGGTCTGCTGCTTAGCCAAAAACTTAAAATTTGCAGAGGTTTGCTTGCAAAGGAGAGCATCCAAAAGCCTCAGAAGGAGCCCCCGATCGACGACTTTTATTGCAATTCGGATTTAAAGTCCTTGAATTTTAAAATCCCCTCCTTTGGCTTCCCTCCGCTGATTAAATTGCACTTTGCTTTTTTTTTTTTTTTTGCCCCAACGCCACTTACCGCTTCCTGTTTAAGTCGCTGCGAAAGTTGCGTGGCCCTCCCCCTTTCGGGCGTGCCTTACGCCTTACCTGTGCGTAACCCATTCCGGGAATCGCTCTTTTCGCGGCGCCGCCGGCGTAGGGTGGGCCTAGGCGGCCTTTCGGAGCCTCGGGCTGGAGTGAGAGGCCAGTCCGTTCGTGGCGGCGGGGAATCGGGGGAGGCTCCGCGGCCCGACGCGGCCTTTCTCCGGCTCCAGGACGGGCTAGGTGGGTCTTGGGGACGGGGGGCGCGGATTTATTTATAAATGGAAGATAAGGGGAGGGGGCTTTGGGGCATGGGGGCGGGATAGCTCAGAAGGGTAGAAATAGCCTAGGAGTGAAACCAATACATTGCAGGGGAGCAGCCCTCACCCCGTTTTAAAAGGGGGGTTTCAATCCCCCTCCCCACTTTGGGGTCCCAAAGGGATCTCCCCTGGCGGGGGGGGGGCTCCCCAGAGATTGCCCCAGTAAAGGGGACCCTCCCCAGCCCCAGATATTGGGGGGAGCACAACCTGCACCCCAGGCAGCGATGTCTCTGCAGAAAATCCCGGGACCCCACTCCCCCAATAAATTGCTTAGAATAATAAATACCGAGTAATTAAAATCACCCAGATCGGAATGAACAATAATCACAAATGTCCAAAAAGGTGTGTGTGTGTGTGTGTAGAAACCATTTACTGACATCTGGAAATTTTTAATCACGTGGCTATTCAGAGCAAGGTTTAAAATCCCAAATCAGAAAGACCTTGATGGCAAACGGGTTTTTGGCACAATCCGGTGCAAATATTAATATTAAGTTATGATATCCTGATTTGCAAAGAGTGCTGGTAAGTAACGATCCATAGATCAGGGCATAGCCAGGTCAAGTTACTAGTCCTCAAGATCAATCAAGTTCAGAAACATGATTGGCAGACATCATTTCTGGTCCCAAGGTTGTAGAAGACTTCCGAGACTAAAATGGAGAGAGGGGGGAAAGGGATTTTTGTGAGTTAGGTAAGAAGGTCATTAGTCTGTGCCCAGAACCAGGAAGTGGATAATACAAGAGGCTTTCACAGAAACACAATCTGAATATCACCTAAAGCGAGCACACCTGGCTAGGAACTCAAACCATTCCCATCCACAGAAAGGTGCGGTCCTGCAAAGCCAGGAGGAAGTGAGAAAATAACCAGGTGGATGTTATCAGTTTTTTACCTGCCTTGCATTTGAACAAAATGCACAAAAAAATTAACCTCCAGGCAACCTGGTCTAAAAGCAGAAGCAAGTTGGAAAAGTCAGCTGTGAGCTTGTCACGAGTTGATTTGAATTTCCACGCTTGCAAGAAATGAAAGGAACAACTGATTGCTTTGAGGATAGGACTTCCCGCATATGGAAAGTTGTTTTCAAAACAAATCAAACTGCTGATGATAAGGAGGAACTGCTTTCTCATGACCAGGAGTCATGAGGCATGCTTTCTCAATGACCTGGGATCCTACTGGATCTATTAAAAGCAGATTTTTATGTTCCTGATCCCTTTGTGAGGACACCAAACGCTTTCGGGAACATTTCCGGCTTCTTGGATTGAGGTCACACAAAAGAGAAGGTGGGGTGAAGCGAAGTGGAGCAGATCGTGGTCCTGAAAGTCCAGTCAGAGGACTTGGTGACACAAAGTTCATTCTCTCCTCAAGTAATTGAGGTTTTACCGTTTTATTATTATGTCTGTTGATAGCTGCTTCGAGGGTTATTATCTATACCGGCTGGTTAGCAACACCTCTGATCTGGAAAGCGCCTTTCCCCGTAAATCAGATTATGACCTGTAGTAATTCCAACACAGAGGACAAAAGTTTCCATCTTGTGATGAATTGGCAGTGTGCAAAAGGAAGGAATTCCCTTATCACCTTTCTCCTTGCTAAGGGGAGGAGATAGAGTAGGCTGGGCTGGGTGTGCTCGTGTAGATAGCTGTGCCTGGAAGACTTTGGTGAGGACCTCCTGTTGCTTACCTGGATTTGGACCAAGCTGGCTGCGATGTTAGCTGCATTCACCCCAAAGGTTTCACCGGCTCAATGAAAAACTCATTCGGTTCACTTTAATGGTCCTTGTTTGCTTTTAATAATCTGCTTCCTCCACTCTCTGAGGAAAGCGAGTTAATTTGTTCAGCAAACAGAAACAAAATCAGGTGATGTCTAGGGCCTGCCATGGGAAGGCAGTGGAGCCTTCGGGTGCAGAGGCAGTCTATCCTGGGGTTTCTGCAGCTGCGAGGAGGGCAATGCTTCTTGCGTTGCTTCTTCAGTGCAGTTTTTCCAGAAGTCCCTTGACCCGCCCTAGAAAGTTGGAGCCCAAATCGCTGCAGAAAAGCTTGGGAGCCTTTCTAGGAAGAAGCAGTCTTATCTCTAGGAAGGAGGGATGCCTTTGTGGCCCGCTTGCTGACCCACCTACTTGGAATAAAGGATGCTGAGGGATTCTTCTTGCATTCTTATTTGGGTGTTTTTGTGTCCCTTGGCAGGAACAGACGGACATGTCTGCTGATCCCCGGCCAGGCTGGAGGCCCTGGAGAAGCCGGCCAAAGGAGGAAGAAGACGACACGGGGCCAAGGACGGGTCCAGGCGCGCAGTTGGGAGAGCCGGGAAAATATGCCTACGCAGCTCTCTGTGCGGTTTCCTTGGCCTCGTTGTTTCCAGACCAGGAGGAAAGGTGAGCGGCCTCAGGGCTGGGTGTTGAGATAATTCTCCATTAGGAGAATGAGCGCGCACAGGGAGACGTAGTGAGAGTGGTGAAGAATATCACACAACCAGCACACAGATACACTGTATAGTAAAATATAGGTTTTTACTTCCAGTAAAACGGTTAAGCAAAGTCCAAACAGAGTCCAAGTCATACACGGTTATAGCAGTCAGTTTTCAGTCCAGGGATAACCCAATACCAAAGTCCAGTATCATAAACAGTTCAGTAACAGACTTACATCAAATCCAGGACTAACAATGATCAGCAACAGTCAATAGAGAAATGCAGGTACATACTCTCAGCAACAGGGCAGCTAGCAACTACCAACAAGAGAACAGAACAACCCAGGTTTCTGGCTCCGTCTTATGGCCGTTTGAGGAACCCAATTACAATTTTAGCATTCCCTTAAAGAAACAGCATTAAAATGTCTATCCTGGTTTATATATTTTCCAACCCAACTGTTAGGTGACTTACATTCCTAACAGTGGGCTTCAAAAAATTTGTAGCAACCGGTTCTCTGCCTGGTTGCTGGGTGAGCATGGCCATGGTGGGTGTGGCCTAGTCGGCCTCCTGCACAATGGCAGGGCGGGTGTTTTCACCCTCCCTGGGCTCCGGAGGCTTTTCTCGAGCTTCTGGGAGGGCGAAAACAGCCTCCGCAGGCTCTGGAGGCCCTCTGGAGTCCAGAAATGGGCCCGTTTCCAGCCCCCGGAGCCTCGGGGTGGCCTGTTGTTCACCCTCCCAGAGCTCTGTAGGGGTTCCAGAGCCCAGGAAGGCCTCCAGAGCCTGGGGGGGCCCTCTGGAGTCCAGAAATGGGCCTATTTCCAGCCTTCCTCCAGGAAGCCCGTTTTTCTCCCACCCTGAGCTTCTGCGCAGGCCCTGCACTTACCTGGGATCCGAAACGGGCTGCGTGGAGACTCCTGGGAGGGGAGGGGTGGTTGGGCCATCCAGGGGTGGGATTTGCCAGTTCACCGAACCACCCATAAAATTAGCTACTGGTTAGCTAAGGGTTTACCCAAACCGGGGCAAACCGGTGGTAGCCCACTCCCAAGCGTCTCCTTGCTGGTTTTCCTCCCAGCTCTTGAGAAAGCATCACAACGACAAAATTCAAGGGATGTTTTGTTCGGCCTCTGCTTGGGATTATTCTTTTTTTTTTTCCCTTTGTCGGTGACAAAAGGAAAGAGCTGGTTTTGTATAGAGAAAAGAGTTTGGCCTCTACAAATGTGGGAACGGCCAGACCTGGCTTAGCATTTTGCAGAAGAAGGCGATCGACGGACGGTTAAGGCTAAACAAGGTTAACACGCCATTGTTTACGAGGCCAGGCTCCCTTTATGCCTGTGAGGAAAATTTTATATGTACATTAAAGCAGGATAAGGATAGGTTGGATTGGCTGACTCATCATTTGTACACCTCTACGGGTAGTCCTCAATTTACAACCACAGTTCTGTTGCCAGGCTAAAGAGTTGTTAAGTACCCTGTATCCCCCAAAATACCACCTACCCTGAAAGTAAATCCTACCTCGATTTTTATATGTGCACCCAATATAAGCCCTAATTAAGATCCCTCCCACTCCAGAGAGCACGGGTAAACATTACTCTCGGGTGGGGATGGGGGTGTGCGGAGCCACCCTACTACGTATCTTTAGACAATTCTATCCAGGCCTCGCACATCCCGACACGTGCCTTGCCGGCCCATTTCTTCTGCAGCCAGCAAGGGTTTCCTGAAGGCCTCTGGAGCTGGTAACAAAGCTCAGGATCGATCCAGAGCTCTCTTATCGGCTGCAGAGGCCTTCAGGGGAGCCTTGCTGGCCGCAGAAGAAGTTCCTGAAGGCCTCTGACAGTGAAAAGGAGGCTAGAAATGACGTGCCCAAGTGAGGTTAGTCAATAGATGACTTGCCCCGAAAATAAGACCTGGGGCCTGTTTTGGTGGCAAAAAAATATAGGACAGGGTCTTATTTGGTGGGAAAACATGGTAAGTTTCGCCCCATTTTATGACTTTCCTTGCCACCGTGGTTAAGTGAATCTCTGCCGTTCTTAAATTAGTAACACAGTTGTTTAAGTGGCTCTGGCTCTGGCTTTGCCTGTCGGAAAGTTGCGAAAGGAGATCACACGTGACCTTGGGACACAGCAACGGTCATAAATGTGAGCCAGTTGTCAAATTTTAATCGCGGGACCACGGGGAATGCCGCAGTGGTCGTAAGTGTAAAAAAAAAAAAAACACGGCCATAAGTCACTTTTTTTCTCAGTGCCGTCGTAATTTTGAACAGTCACTATGTCAATTAAAAAGATCCTCCTTTGGTCTTTGGTCAGCAGAAAGGGAGCGGGAGGAAACAGTGCATTCCTCAAGTGCCTAGATAATCGCCTTGGCAGCCCAAAGTTGTCAGAGCACCGGAATATTACTGGCGAGTATGATTGGTGACTCTTGGCTATGGATGTGTCCCATTGGAGAATATACATCCAGGGGGTGGTGGGGAAGACCAGGGACAAGGGGGCAAGGAATGATGCGTTTTAGTATCGGCTGCATCCAGCTAACACCAACATGGCCACTTCTCAGTGAACTGTTATAAGCGAAGGCGTACCTGTGTAGGCGTACCTGTGTTTTTTTATTCCCCGAAGCAACGCTACCCCTCCCCGACTGATGAGCATACAGAGGCCAGTGTGAGCGTTGGCCGCGGATTGCAAATGCCACGCCGCGATCTCGTTTCTCTTGGCCTTCTCTCCACAGCGCCTACAGGACGGGAGTGGTGGAGGAGCTGGTCAGGTGGCTGGAGCTGTCGGACACCGTGATGCCATCCATGCTGGCCTTTGCTGGAGGTCTGGGGGCTGAAGGGACGGAGACCTTCGCTCGGATTCTTCTGAGCGAGCCGCTCCTGGCGGATCAGCCCGGCTCCATTATGCTGGTGAGTCGAAAGTCTTTTGCTGTTTGTCCTAAGCCAGGGGTAAGTCCGACTCAGTTTCGTTGAGGGCCACATCAGGGTTGTGTTTGACCTCGGAGGGCTGGGGGCGTGGCCACGGTGGGCGTGGCATGGGACTTTTGTCGGGGGCACCTGTTGGGGACACCCCGGGTCCTAAGGCAGGATTTCCCTGAGACCCTCCCTCGCTCTCATTATAATCTATCTCCCTCCCTCCCTTCCTTCCTACCTTTCCTTCTTTTTCCTTCCCTCTCCCTTCTCCTTTCCTTCGTTTGCCATCCTTGCTCTCTTCCCATCTTCCCATCGTTTTCTTCATCTTTCCATTCCCTTTCTTCTTTCTTTCCTTCCTTTTTTCTTTTTCCTTCCCTCTTCCTTCTCCTTCCTTCTTCCTTCCCCTCCTTCCTTCTTTTTCCTCCCCTCTTCCTTCTCCTTCTTCCTTCCTCCCCCTCTTCCTTTCTTTTTCCTCCCCTCTTCCTTCTCCTTCCTCCTTCCTTCCCCTCTTCCCTTCTTTTTCCTTCCCTCTTCCTTCTTCCTTCCCCTCTTCCCTTCTTTTTCCTCCCCTCTTCCTTCTTCCTTCCCCTCTTTCCTTCTTTTTCCTTCCCTCTTCCTTCTCCTTCCCTCTTCCTTCCCCTCTTCCCTTCTTTTTCCTTCCCTCTTCCTCCTTCCTTCCCCTCCTTCCTTCTTTTTCCTTCCCTCTTCCTTCTCCTTCCTCCTTCCTTCCCCTCCTTCCTTCTTTTTCCTTCCCTCTTCCTCCTTCCT